ACGTCAGATTCACGTGCAGCTGCATCAACCCCAGAGGCAGATCAGCTCAGGACAGAACTCGGCGGCATAAGCCTACTAGGCAACTCCTACCCTTCTCAAGGCTGCCACCTCATCTGCTTCCCCACTGGGACTCAAGTTCCAACACAACGAACGACTGGAGTCGGCTTTCAGAATTTCAGGTATGCTACAAAATCTTCACGGGAAGGGCTGCATAGGCCGTGCTTGCTTTTACCCTCAGCTCCTTGAGTGAGTGAACAAACATTCACATCGCGCTACGACATGAAACTAGGGCACGCGTACTTAGGAGTAACTTCCCGTGGGGTCCAGTCTGGGGATCCAGGATTGCGGTTTAGAAGCCTGGGAAGATGCTGGGGACAAAGCTGTGATACAATTTAGGGTTTCCAAAAGTGTGTGTGTGTTCTAAAAGGACGAGGAGATCAATTACTGTCAGGTCAATAAGAGGAAATGTAGACCGTTTAGAAAGAGAAGTTCAATCAGCAGGAGCTAAGAAAGGTGCCATGCCCATGAGGAGAGTGATCTGGATCTGAAACCAGGGACTGGATCTGTGCCTGGAGAGGAGGACCTTGCATCCCAAGAGTGCAAGGCCTGAGAGAGAGACGGCTCTTAATGATGCGTTGCCAAGCACAGATAACCAAAGTCTACACGTGCAGTTGACCCAGTCTTAATAAAAATGACACTCCACTGTCCCCTCACTGAGAGTAAACATCCCGTCAAAACAGCCCAGGAAGCCTCTGATGGCAGAAGAATAGGAGGGTGGGGGTCAAGACGACGAGGAAGGAGAAAATCCTGACGCCTCTTCCTCAGGGAGACTTTGCCACGACCCACGCAGCAGGCAGTGCCTGCTGTGTAACAAGGCTTCGCCACAATGTACGACTTAAACACAGCCAGTAATTTAGCTCACAATCCCATAGGCTGGTTGGGAAGTTCTTCTGTGTGGACAGGATTGGCTGATGCTACTGGCCTCACTCTAGCTTCTCGAGTCGGCTGGCAAGTTGGCAGTGGCTGGATGACCCAGGACGGCCTCACTCAGATGTCTGGCATTTAGAGGGTTCTTAGGAAGGGCCTGGCTGCTTCTGCATGTGGCCTCTCACCCTCAAGCAGGCTGGCTTGGGCTCACTTCCATGGTGGTGTTCAGGCTCCAAGCACAGCAAGAGGACAAGCCCAGTGCTCAAGCACTTTCGAAGCCTCAGCTTGCATCCCTTTTGCTAATGTCCCATTGGCTCAAGTGACTCATACGGCCAAGCCAGATTCAAGGAGTGGACAGACAGATTGTGCCTCTTGATGAGAATGGAAGAACTCATGGTCGCTTAAACAATCTGCCAGTTAGATAGTAGGGTTGGTAAAGAAATAAATCAATCAGTTCTTAAAACTTACAGAGAAAGTGTTGAGATATCAAGGAAACAGTCCTCGGATATAGAAATTCTTCATGTCCTGGGTGGTGTCATTTAGTCCAGCTAGGGAATGCTCTGTTTAGGAATCGCCCTGGGCCACGTTATCACAGAGCCTAACACAACTCTGCAGGCTCTGAAGAGGACTTCAGACGCCATCTCAGAACACGGGAGGTGTCCTGCGTGGCTGGGATCTGTCTCCTCTGAAGCTCGCGAGGCAGGGACAGCCTCCTTGGCATAGCTGAAGACCCGTCTCTGCAGGTTCAGGTGGGAAAGAGGACCTGCTGTTTCTCTTCAAGGGCAGGGATTAAGATCCAGGAGCTGCAAAGGGTGGATGGGTACAAGCAGAAATGACAGGGCAGGTTAGTATTTGAACTGGAATCAGGAAAAGGAAGGCTATGAATGGTGGCCGGGCTCCCAGAGGAATACAATCCAAATTAATAGTAAACTGGCGTCTGTGACCTGGAGGAAAGAGTAGGCAACATTTAAAGGACAGGTGGAAGAAGTCGGACAGTCTCTTGCAGCAGTTTGAACTTTTTTTGGGATGGTGAGTTAGGGAAGACTCTAACCTCAGCTCTGCCACTAACCAGTCAGTTGTATGACCGTGGACAAATCGCCTCATTTAGTTTTCTCATGGACAAAACGAAGGATTCTGACTGGACCATTTTCACAAAGTCCTTTCTGGCTCTAACCTCCTCATGGAAGCCAGACAAAGAGAAGGACCGGCAGACACGTGAGGGAGTGAGGCTGCGTCAGGGGCACTCCGCTTCCGGGACAGGCACTGAGAAGGGCCCGAAGCCTCCAGAGCGCTAAAGACACGACAGACCCCTGTCAGCACTCATCCCACCAGCGGCGTCCACAGACAGTCCAGGCAGAGCTGTCAGCGAGGGACAGCAGCGTGGCCGCACCCCGGTGGAACTACAGACCCATTTGGGCTTGATCAAAGTATTTCAGGGAAAAAGTAGGATTTCACCCAGTTTCACTATTCAATCATTTCTGATAACAGTGGGGTTGGGTTTGCCAGAAGAGGGGAGACTGGGTGCCGAGACAACTCCGGGCAGGAATTACATCAGGTAACTTCTCTGAGCTTCAGCTTCTTCATCTACGAAACAGAAAGGGAGACCAGCCCATCCCAGCTGGTGGCATTCAGCCCCGGGATTCCGGTCTGGCGCCTGCGCTCAGCAGCGCCATCTGGTGTCACGGTGTGAGCCGAGCAGAAAACCTCCAACATTCCCCCTGACCGGAGAGGCCAGGGAAGCGACTGCGCGGAGCTGCAGACGGGCGGGACGGCGACACGCCCACGCCCACGCGCTCACTGGGAGTCGGCCACGGCCCTCAGCGAAGTTCCACAACAAGCCTATGATACAGGCACTAAGAACAGCCCTGCGCTCCAGGCGAGGAAACGGCACAGGAAGGCAAGGGAACTCGGCGGTACGCGCACGCCCAGGTGGCCGCCACCACGCGCCCCTCAACCCCGCAGTCCCCGCCCCCGCCGGGCGTCACGGGGCCCCTGCCTCGTGCCAGGCCCCGCGCTCCGAGTTCCGAATCCTCTCAACAAGCGTAGACGTGGCTGCTAGAGCCGCGCCTTCTCAGACGAGAAGACCGAGGCCCGGGGGATGTCTCGGCCACATGGCTGCCGAGCGGCGCGGCCTGCGGTCAAGCTTCTGCTGCAGCCAGGATGAGGGAGCAGCCCAACGGGTGCACCCAGGCTGCCGCCACCTCCCTGGAACCCTCTCCCTCCTTCTCGGCACAGAGAGGGAAGAGGCAAGCGTCAGAAGCCAGATGGAGTTGGGTTTTCTTGGTTTGTTTGTTTTGACTTTGTTTTGCCAATTATCTGAAGAGCCAAGTCCCGAATCCTCGTAAGCTGCTCATTCAATTAAGCGGTAACGCAGGCTTGTGCAGGTTTCTCGGCCTCTCCCGCTTCTTGTTCTGGCGCAGTTTTGCCAGGGCAGTAATGAGGACATCAAGTGCCGCAGGAGGGCTGTGAGCTCTCCTCTAGGGAATCTACGGCACGGCTTCAACGACCACGCCATGCAAACGCCTCCCCAGGCTACACCTCCGGGCCTCCCCACTCCGACTGCCCGAGAAAGGCATCTGCTCTCGCGTTCCACAGTCCCCTCACAGTCAACGTGCAGGGTTCACTTAGCAGAGACTCGCAAGCATGCCAAGCACACATGCAAACCCCTCAGGCCTTTGGAACAGTGCTTAGCACGTGAGGATGCTAATGAAAGACAGCCCTTATTTTCAAGCTCTACAGAGTCAGTGAAGGGAGGTTAGTAAACTGTCTTCACAACAAGGTGTAAGTGCTGTGATGGGCTAGGCAGGGCTTGCTTCGGCAGATGCAGTGACACTGCATCCCATCTGAAGAGAGAGGTTAAGGGGAGAGTCCGGGTAGGTTTCTCAGACAACTGACTCCTGAAACGGAAATCAGCATCTTTCTCCCCACACTGGCTCCTCCTGATTTCTACTAGTCGCACTGCTGTTTTTAGGTACCCAGGCTTGAAAACTCAGTCGTTGTGTTCAAGTCTTTCCTGATTCACAAATCCAGTGTCTAAATTAGTCATTGTGTCTAGTCAATTCTTCTTTCTCAACATTGACTCCCTTCTTTACCTTTCCCTACTCTACTTCACTGCAAAAGCCTGTCATTTTAACCCTAGCAAATTCTCTTTGACAACACCTCCTGCACTGTACTCTGGATTCATTTGCCCAACATACTCTCCCACTCAGAAATCTCAAAAGGCCATTCAGCGCCCCAAGGGTAAAGACCAATCTCCTTGTTCTGGGAACATTCTGCTTCTAGCTTTCTCCCCTTCCATCCTCAGACTCTCCTGCAAGGGCCCCTGCCTTCAGTCTTGTGACACCCCTCTGACCCACCCGCTCTCCGCCTGTTCTGCTGTCATGCCCATGTTGACTTTTTCTTTGCCTTCAGTTCCTTTTTTTTTTTTAAAAAATAGCATATTTATATCTTATTTCTCCTCAAAAGGCCATTCCAATTCTACCTATTCCGTGAAGCCTATCTTAAAAATCTACAGAATTTATTGTTTGTGTTAGTCATTTGGCAATTAGTATGAATTGCCTTTTTCTTCCATCAACTTTAAAAAGGTGTAAATTATACAACCACAACCGTATGTGCCAATGGAGCCAGCATCACATCAGGATATAAAACACTTGCGTCACCTCCAAACATTCCTTTTCCCCCTTTGTAGGCAGCGTCCCTCCCGCCCCAGCCCCAGGCAACCACTGATTCTGGTTCTGTTACCACAGATTAGTTCCTTCTCTTTTCTAGAAATTCACACAAATGGAAATGCTGAGTCTGTCCTCCTTTTTGAGTCTGGGTTTCTTCACTCAGCTTGTGTTCAGAATTCACCCACGGTGTTGCCTATGTGTGTCCCATTTTATTGCGAGAGAATTTCTTTGTTTGGATAGTCTACATTTGTTTACCCAGTTCCCTGCTGATGAGCGTTTGGGTTGTTTTCAGGCTTTGACTCATGAACATGTGTGTAAAAGCCTTTGTGTGGACACAGGTTTTCATTTCTCTTGGGTAGACACCTAGGAATGGAGCTGCTTGGCTGGACGACTTGGGTGTGTTACCTTTATGAAGCTCTGCTTCTTTATCAGTCCGTTCACTCCTGATGCCCCATCTTCCTCTGCTTCTGAGTCGCTGGAGAAACGTCAGGGGAGTAAAGAAGGCCTAGACCGCACAGTCCGTCGACCTGCGAGCTGCACTGTATGGTCGTTTTCCAAATACTTTCACTTCGGCCTGAACACCTGGGAGAGGACAAACACGGTTACCTGTGATAGACTTCGCTTTTCGTATGTCTTTCATATACAAAACATCAATTCAATTGATCCATCAGTTGATAAGTCAAAACATCCCCACACTCCGCTGAGGGGGCCTGTGCGGAGAAATGCGTGTACTTTTATGCACGGGGACTTTTTCACAGTGAGGAGGAACCGAAGTGACGTCACTGGCAGATTACAGCATGGACTGGGGTCTGCATACCTTGACTTTCACTTTCAGTCTAATATACATCAGAGGACAAGTATATCACAGGTAAAGCCTACTTTATATGACTTTATCTCTTAAAAGTCACAAGTAGTCAAAGAATATAGATAATACTTCTCAAGGTCACATATTAGGAAGGCTGGAATTTGAACCCAGGCAAGCTGGCTCCGTAGTCCAAGCTCTTAATAACTCTGCTATGCTGTTCTCTACCCTTTCTAAGTCATAAATTGTTTAGCGTTCTGGTCACGCAGAAATCTATAAGCTATTATGCTACTTGCTTACAGCCCATGGTATTTGTCCTAAATCAAGAGCTGGAAGAGATACTACTACTAGTATTAAATTATTACAATGGTATTAAATATGATATCATAGCAGAACAGTAGCATTATTCCACAGAACCGAAGCATCAGTCCTTTATAACTTACAGAGAAATGCTTTAACAAGATAATACAATTGGCTTGAATGTTTTCATGCTTTCCTGAGAAAAATTACCATGTGAACTGGAAATCTTGATTTGTAGGGGGAGAGGTAGGAAGGAGGAGAATCTGGGTATTTAGAAGGTAATGCAAGACTGAGTACCTAGAAACTACGTGGAAGAGGCTAAGGAAAGACAACTGAAAAATGTAAGAGGTTCCTGTGGGAAGGAAAAATAAGGGATAGAGAAATGAAAAAAAGCGCTTTGCAATTGTACCCCTGGCCCTGGGAACAGCAGCTGCCTTCAGACCACTGAAAAACACTTCAGTGAGCATCTCTGGCTGTTGTAGCACATACTATTAATACTCAAGTTATTGAAACTTTGTGAAGAAACTTTTGCGAAGAGTTTCTCTGTAACATGAATAATCACACGTAACAGTATTGAGGAGTTAAATAAAAACTTAAGCCTTTATCTTTATTTGTGCTTATAAAATTATGACTAATTTTGACAGCTACATCTACTTCTAAGCCAAGCATTATGAAAGTCTAGAATAAGTACTTATTTCTTTACAAAACAGACCTATGCCTGATAAAATGGAGTTTTAGTAATTTATTCAGGCCTTAAAAATTTTTGTTCCTTTTATAACAATAATACATTTTATAATTTATATAAATTTGCACCATACAGAGAACAAAAAGAAACAAAAAATTAGCTGTAATCTCATCATTCATAGCCAACAACTTCTTATTTTGTTTTTTCTTTTTATCTTTTTCTATGTATTTTTAAAATTGGGATCATATATTTTATAATCTTGTTTTCCTCTTTAATACATCATGTTTCTATGTTATTAAATATTCTACCTATAACTTTTATCGCTGCATACAATCTATTGTACAGATATACTATAATTTATTAAAATAATCCATTATTAGAAATATTTGAACGTAAATCTTTTGTGTACATATATGATTACTTCTTCATATTAAAAGTTTAAGAAGCAGAATTTTCAGATATGTATTAATCAACCGGAACATGAATCAAAAGAAAATATTTATGGTTGCCACAGGGGCGGGGGGCGGGAAGGGACAGACTGGCAGTTCAAAATTTGTAGATACTGACAGGCATATGTAGAACAGATAAACAAGATTATATGGTATAGCACAGGGAAATATATACAAGATCTTGTGGTAGCTCACAGCGAAAAAAAAAATGTGACAATGGATATATGTATGTTCATGTATAACTGAAAAACTCCACACTGGAATTTGACACAACATTGTAAAATGATTGTAACTCAATAAAAAAAGTTTAAAAAAAAAGAAAGATATTTCGAATGAGGCAAAGAAAGACAAAAGGATGAAAAATATAGAAAAGACAATGAGAGATATAGTGGATAAGACAAAAAAGCATATGTGATATTAACTGTATTCCCAAAGGAAAAGAGAGAGAAGATGGGACAGAAGCAATATTTGAACAAATGACTTTTCTATGGTCAGTTTTTGATAATTTAATGATTTAAGACTTGTGCACTTCCCTGTATATTTGCTATATTTGAATTGAAGCTTACAAAAAAGTTGAATTAGAAAAGCAAGTATGCAAAATTCACAGTTAAGGAGTGACAATGATCGTAGTCATATGAAGCAGAATATCAGTGTATGGTGCCCCGAGAACCCCCTTTCTTCCTTGGAGGTGGCCCCAAATCATTCTGCAAGAGCCCAAAGATATATTTACCTACTTATAGCACCAAGCACTCAAACAGCGTCTACAACAGCTCCTCAATAAATGCTGTAGAACGACTGGGAACTTCCTGTTTAGTCAGTTGGTCCTGGAATTGGAAAGAAAAACAGCGATCGTGGGGAGGAGGGAGAAGTGGCACAAGGAAACTTTCCTAGTGATGCTGTTGGGGTTCTCAGTCCAGTTCTGGCTAAAAATTTATTGCTATACACTCTAAACTTTTTAAACTTAATATAATTTTAAAGTACTATTCTTAAAACCTACAGTTTCCTAGTAACTCAGCATGTGTATTAATGTTATCTGGATTGTCAGAAATGTTGGCTGAAAATATTTGCTAATTGGAAAATGGAGCTGGGATCTGTTCTAGATTTCTCACTAGTTAGCCTTTGTTGCATTATAGAATCTTTCTTTCAATATGCTGGCTTTTCTTCTCCCAGTTCTTGATTAGATGGTAGAATTATGAGGGGAAAAATGGTGTAAGGGTGTAGGAGGCACATGTTTAATATTCAGATGGATATATATGGGCTTGGGTACAGGTTGGCTAGGTAATGATGCTGGATAAATGGTTGAAGGAAAGGGCAGATGTCTTGACGGGTGTACAGCCTGTTGAGAAGGGAAACTGGCAGAGTACTGAAAATTCTAAAACACTACAAAAATTTGTTCTCATAGTCACACAATCATTCCACAAATACTTATTAATTCCTTAAATTTGCAAAATATTGTTCTAGATACTGGCAATACAAGAATGAACAAATCAGATAAGATCCCTGCTGTCAGAGTCTACGTTCTAACATGAGGACGAACATTAAGCTAACGACACAATTATTTCATGAACACTGTGACGAGGGCAACTGCAGTATACGTGCTAGTGAAGTGTATGAAAAATGAGAGCATCTAATTAGTGGGCCAAAAGGGAGGATGTTTGAGCTGATTTTTATAAAGTAAAAGGACTAACTTGATGGTGACGGGGAATGGGAGAGGCGTAAGTCCAGGGTACCCCGTGAAACAACTGCAAAGAGGCTTGTTGGTGGCAAAGAACATAGTATGTTAGAAAACTGAAAAGATCAGCATGACAGGTACCTGTGAGCAACCAGGGCTGTGGACTTGGATAGGACTGGTGTGGTAGGCAGGGCAAAAAAGCATTCAGGGACTTAGACACTGTGTTAATAATTTTGTTCTCCATCCTAATAATTGGAGGATGCTAGTAAAGGGTCTTAAGCACCTGCCCCAAAGGAAGGAGCGGGCTGGTACCGCACAGAGTTTCTGTCTGGCAATTAGACCTAAAGCAAAGATTACAGGCTCGTGAAGAAATTAACCACCCAGATTGGCTTCCTTGTGCATAAACTGAGTTTGGACTAGATGAGAACTTAGGATTCCTTCAGCTCTAACTCTTAAATTCTATGAATACCTCTGTATATTCAAAGCCAAAATATCAGTAACAGATAACTTGACTTCTTGGTGAACTCTTCCTATCTCTGAAAATGAACACCTTCTGGATCCTATTAAGAGTCACAATTTCATCTACATCATGGTGTTAGGGCTGAAGTTTGACTCACAGAAGGCTAAGAAGTGTTTTTAAGATGGGAAGCGGGGAAGAAGACCTTAGTGACCAGATGCCGAGACAGTGTAATCAGTGCTTCGGGGCACTGGGAAGGCAGGCAGAGGAGGGCCCGGGCAGCACTGGGATGATTTCGTTTAAAGGCAGCCAGTCCATAAGAAGCGGAGGAGTGGGAAGGGGCTGTTCACCAGCAAGCTCCATCTTCACCAGCGGCTCCGCATCCCAGTTCCCCCACCACTTTGACCGTATAATTGCTAATTCCTCAAGTTTATGTAATATGCTATGCAGAAACAGTTTCAAGCACTCGATTCCTTGAGACTTGCTCAAATTAAACCATTTCCACTTAAAAACTCAGGAGCAGCGAATGCAGGCGACTCCATAGTCTGAAGGACAAGAGTGTGTGTTTTGGGGAGAAGCAGGTAGAAGGAACTTAATTCCAAAGCACTAGGGCTAGACAGGCTCTCGGAGGTGACTGAGTGAACAGAAACCTTGGAGGTGCGGGGCCTTTTCCAGGACGACACCAAGTGGAGGAGCCTAGCCACGGACCCGGGGTCCTCCCACGACCCTCGGTGGACTCCTGGGGGTCCCTCCGCCTGGCCGGGAGGAGGGTGCAGGAGGGCGGCCGGGCGGCCTGACTCCTCTCCCCGCTTAGGTGCTGCGGCGACAGCCGGTGCAGGGGGGCACGGCCCCGCCACGCGCCTCAGGATCACCGAAGAGACGTCCGAACAGGCGGGAGCGGCGTGGCCGGAGCAGAGGAAGGAGCGGTCACTGCCCCCGGACCGGTCGGCGGCGGCGGCCGTGCGACTGCCG